CTTTAAAGACCATTTGTTTCTAGTGATGGAAAATTTAATCAGATTTGAATCATATTAGTTTCTAAGCTATTAAACCAAAACCAAACCCACTACCATCACATTGATTCCAACTCATAGTGACACTATACAGCAGAGTAGAACTGCCCCCTAGAGTTTCCAAGGCTGTAAATCTTTACAGAAGCAGACGGCCTCATCTTTCTCCCTTGGAGTGACTGATGGGTTTGAACCACTGACCTTTTAGTTAGCAGCTGAATGCTTTAACCACTGTACCATGAGAGTTTCCTTTCTAAGTCATTAAATCAAAAACCAAACCCACTGCTATTGAGTTGATTCCAACTCATAGTGACCCTCATTGGGTTTCTAAGGCTATAAATCTTTATGGAAGTAGATTGTTTCATCTTCCTCCTGTGGAGCAGCTAGTGAGTTTGAACCCCTGATCTGGTTAGCAGCCAAATGCCTTACCCACTATGCCACCAGATCTCCTTTCTAAGCCATTAGGGATTAATAAATGGCAGTCTAATCTTGTGATGTAGCTGTCCCCTGTCCCTGCAATAGTGGTCTGAGCAGAATCATGAATGTCATATAATTCTATGCTAGAAAGGTTGAGAAACTATATATAAGCTTAAATTAGATTGAAAATCCTGTTTCTTCTTTTTTATGGACTCCTAGAACACACCTCTGTGGTCATCATTTTGTCGGTGATGAAACCAAGGCCTAGGGATTCAGTTAGTGAGTGAGTTGGGACTAGAATCCAGGTCTGTACAAGCTCACTGCTATCATTCAAAGATTTCTGGGGCTAAGCCAGAATATAGAAACTTGACAGATGATACCGTGCTTCTAGATATCCTACTGTTTTGTGGTATGTTTCATTAAAAAAAAAGACAGAAAAACCCCTCACTGCCATTGAATCAATTCCGACTCATAGCGACCCCCCTTTGGGTTTCCAAGGCAGTAAAGCTTTAGAGAAGTAGATTTCCCAGTCTTCTTCTGCGGAGTGGCTGGTGGGTTTGAAACACCAACCTCTGGTTAAGAGTCAAATACGTTAGGCACTATGCTTCCAGAGCTCTTTTGTTTCACATAAGGCAGATGAAATATTAATTCCTTGCCTCCCAAGATTGTAATAGTACTGAAAAATGTGATTATAGAAAACTTACATACCCAAATGCTAAATAAAAGTGACTTAGTCTTGGGGAAGATGCCAAAATTGCTGTAGTTTCTTATTGAATGTTTAGGGATAATTTAGTGTTTGGGCAGAAATGGCCAAAAATAAATAAATAAATAAACAAATAAATTAGATTTTAGGGTTTTAGAATGCATGTGTAGTGTAATAATTATTCATTCTTGTCCCTGTATTTTCCCTATTCCACTAGTGCAATTCTTTCTTCAAAAGAAACTCTGTATGTGGACTTAGGTTGTAAGAGAGGAAGTGTAATTAAAATCCTTGGCAATTTTAAATGATAGTGCTCTTTGCAAATAGGGTGTTTTCTTGTCTTTTGCTGCTCTGTATAAACTAATAAACAAAACAGCACCTTTTTCCTATACAGATAGTCTCCGACTTGCTACGTATTTGAGTAAGGAGGAACTGCACTTATGACCATCTTTTTTTTTGGGGTGCCCTTTATCATTAGTAATATGTGTTACATACAGGGTTGCAGTGTATCATTTGCTGGTATTATTTTCAGATGTTCATTTGCAGATGTTCAAAGATAGATTATATTATAAAGATATATAAAAGGCAATAATAGTGAAAACTAAAAGAAATAAAAGGTATTTAACTTAATGTCAGAACTGAGTTAGGACAGAGTAGTCTGGATGAAATCCTGTTGTAAGTTGGGGACTACCTGTAACATACATACTTCTACTTCAATGAGATTTGAATACATAGTGTGCCTATTATAGCAAGCCAGATAAAAAGTGTTCCCATTGTATAGCACTTAAGTGAAAGGCCATTAGGGCATAAGCAATGGCAGTATTTTCCCTTTGTACTGAAAGTGCTTTGAAGGTAATAAGAATAGTTGCTCAACCACAGGACTTCAAACCTTAAAGGATCCCCCAGCTTCTTGCTGGCTTGCAAATTTATTTTCCCTGCTGTTCCTTTTTAGACTTTCTTTCTTTGAAGAAAAGTATAGACCCTGGGTGAACCTACACAAAGCATGGAGTTTGCAGAACCAGAGAAGACTATGTCCCCAGGGCCTCTTCATAAGCTAATAGTACAGCTTTTCACCTGACTTGCTCACTTCCTGTTGTGCACATTGGGGCACCATCAAGTGGCAACATCAGGAACTGAAGCTGCTATTGGAAAACCACGCCCTCTTATAACCAAGTACAGCTATGAAAAACACCTTTGTGTTTTTTCATCTGGGGAATGAGGCTGCTGTGGATCAAGAGTTATGGGGAAGCAATGAACTGGCAGTTCTGTGGTCAGATATGTGTCTGCAAGGCAGGTCCTTAAACTGTCATTATATTCACTATCTTTTCAAATGGCACTCTCAAAGAGAAATTTAGAAATTAATTTCATGCTTTTCTTTACTGGAACAAACTTTAGTGTAGTCTTTTAAATACCTCATTTGAGGTGAGTAGCACCTTGATTGTAGGATAAAATAATTTGGATAATTTATTCTTGATTTTTAAAATCAAGAAACATTGTTCAGGCATCTGTTCAATTCAGAGTAGTGTGCCTACTGCTGGGCATAATAGGAGGTAACAGGAGGTCTCTGCCCTGAAGGGCTTGTGGGAGAGGTTAGAAAGCAGGATGTGTGTGTGAAAGTTAACAGTGTGACAATCCGACAATACCAAATATGCTACACAACTGTCCGGTACAGGCCATCTCAGTAAGGGGAGGAGACTGGGCCTTGGCCTTCAAGGGATGGTAGGCCTTAGCAGGTGGTGAAGGCATTCCAGCCTGGAGGAACAGGCCAATGAGGAGAGTTTGTGTGGGGAAGAGTCAGGGGACCAGGGTAGCGGAGGTAGAGAGTTTGGTTCAACAAATAGTGGAAAACTCAGAAAGTGGAGATAAAGATTAGACTGTGGAGAACTTAAATGAGAGTTTGACTAGTTAAATTTCCATAGAAATGGGCAAAAGTAAAATATTTCATGGGTGAATTCATTTTTGCATGTACCTGTGAGGAAATTTTAACGCTTTTTCATCCTATTTAGGAAGCACTAAACCTTTAAATATGTATGTATGAATTGAAAGGTTTTAGTAGGGGTTGAGTTTTTCTAGAAAGAACAATTTGCAAGAAGATTGTTTTAATCATATTTACTAATGTTAGGACTGGGCAGTGTTTCCTTCTGTGCACATAGGGTTGCTCTAAGTTGGAGCCCACTTGACAGCATCTAATAACAACAGTGTTAATTTCAAAAGAAAGAGCTGTTTCAGAAATTTTAGCAGTGACTTTTAAGATCTAAAGAGAGACAACCAGCCTTCTGTGATTTGGGTAAGACAGAAAAAAAAAACCCATGAAATGAAAGTAGAATTAAGGTTGTAGACCAAATGCAGGACTAGTATTCTTGTCAGAGAGAGGTACTTTATAGCAGCAAAGCCAAAGCAGGACCCACAATCAGCAGCTGCGTGATTTACAGGGACAGTAAAATAGAAATACGGTGACTCCCACCACTTAGTCCTTAGAAAAATGTTTTTCCTCAGACGTTCCTAAAGAGAATTCTCTTGAAGAATTCCCTCAACAATATTTTTTTAGCTATTGTAGTATCAAACATTAAAAAGTCACGTTTTATAATGTCCTTCAGCATAGATAACATAACACCAAAGTGCAGTACAATATAAACAGTCTGCTGGGGACCTGTACCCATGCAGTCCAACGTGTCAGTTTTCTGATGGCCTAGCTTAAAACTTCTTTGGGAAATTGATGATAGGTCTATCCTTGTCTTCTCTAGTGCACAAATGCATAATCCCAACAAATTTTGCATGTTATTTCAGGAAATTCACAATTTCTGAGGGTTCACGGTCCCTCTGAACGATCATTGGTCAAGCTCCAGCTCATCCATAAACTAAGGCTCAGCACCCCTAGTATAGAGTAACAGGAGGGTAACAGTTTGTAAATGTGGTAAAAGCATGGAACAGTGATGTTTGTCTTGATAGAGTAGATTGACCTGCCTTAACTGGAAGCTGAATGGAAGATAAAGTTAGTTTCCATTTATGAAAGTTGAAGAACTTAAACAGAACATGTCTGAACAAAAGACGCTTATTCCACTTTGGCAGGAATGTAGTCAGGAATGTGATTTTTCTTAGAGAGCAACTGGATCCACTCTTAACTCTTTCTAGAAAGGGCCTCTTATACAGGAAGCGATGGTAATTTTAGCCTAGAAAAATTATAAGGCAGATGTTATCTAGTACTATGTGAGCTACTTAAAAAAATACAAATCAAAACCTTGGTAAAACTTTAAGAGAATGTCTAACTTTAAGCATTTATAGCTTCTTGGTGAGTCTAAGGAGCTCTAGTGGCATAGTGCCTAAGGCATTTGACTGCTAAGCAGAAGTTTGATGGTTCAGACCCACCAGCCACTCCATGGAAGGAAGACAGGGCAAACGACTTCTGTAAAGAGTAACCACCTTAGGAACCCAATGGGTGTTGTTATGAGTCGGAATCAACTTGATGGCAGTGAGATTTTGTTTTTTTTGAGCTTATGAGAGAAAGATCCTTGTGTAATACAATCTTGGGGCACTCTAGTGGCATAGTGCTTAAGGCATTTGACTGCTAACCAGAAGGCTGGTGGTTCAAACCCACCAGGCACTCCTCAGAAGGAAAGTTGGGCAATCTACTTCCGTAGTGATACCACGTTGGAAACCCAAGGAGGGGTCGCTATGAGTCGCAGTTGACTTGACAGCAGTGAGTTGTTGTTTTTTAATATAATCTTGGGTAGCAGAAAGACTTTGTTTGTTCTTTGAGATTGTTTATCTTTGAGCTGGTTACGTTCTTATTTATTTATCCAGATAGATATGCTTAAGATTCTCATTGATGGTTATTTCTTTTGCATTGCAGCGTTTTAATCCTGGGTGCTTCCGGTGGAGTTGGTACTTTTGCTATACAGGTAAAACAATTTCCTTATCCTGCAAATGAGGAAAATAATTGTTTACATGAATTTATAACATCACATATTAAAATGATTTTTCCTTAAAGCTGAGAGAGAGGTAGATGTGGTAAATTTACTGTAATTCCACCTTACTCTTTTGAGAGGAAAATTTTCTAATGTAGAAGGAAGAGTTAGCTTTTCCAGTTGTTTAATAGATGAGTGGGCATGCGGATGTCATGTATAACAAATGTAGGAAAGCTGTTAGGGAGAAAGATGATGGCCAGTTCAAGTAAATGAAAGTTTGCGATTGATAGGAAAAACCCATGTCAGAAACCAATGCTAATTTTTAATCAAAATTTCTGTAGGCTTTTTTTGTATTGATAAGCTGATTCTAAAATTTATTTGGAAATACAATAGCCAAACAATTTTTAATAAGAACACAGTTTGAGGACTTACACTATCTGATTTTAAAACTTAACTATAAAACCTTATACTCATCAAAATAGGGTGGAATTGGTGTAGAGATCAACTTACAGATCATTGGTCAACTGATTTTTGACAAAAATATCAAGGCAGTTGGATGGGGGACAGAGGAGCCTTTTCAACAAAAATGCTGCTTTAGCAGTTGTCTATTCTGGTAGCATAGTGGCTAAGTCACTTGCCTGCTAACCAGACGGCTGGCGGTTCAAACCCACCAGCCACTCCTCGGAAGGAAGGTTGGGCAATCCTACTTCCGTAGTGATACTGCCTCGAAAACCCAAGGAGGGGTCGCTATGAGTCGGGGCCGACTCGACGGCACATAACAACAACAACAACATTATATATTAAAAAAAGATGAACCTTAATGTACTTTACCTTGTAAAATGTAAAAAAATTAACTTAAAATAGATCATAGCAACTAAACATGTGCAATGCTACCTTATTAAAAATAGAATGTGTAAATAAGAACTTTTTTAAAATACAAAAGAAATTAAGAAAGAGATTAAAAAAACATTTGCGAGAAAGTGTCAAATATTGAAGATAGGTAAAGAAGATTGTATGTATGGAAAATGGGAGTCCCTGAAAGAGAAAACCAAAGCAAAGGGATAGAACAAGTACTCTGGTGGCATAGTGCCTAAGGCATTTAACTGCTAACCAGAAGGCTGGTGGTTCAAACCCACCAAACTCGACGGATCACTCTCAGGGACTCACTGCCTTTGAGTCGGATACGACTCATAGTGACCCCTTCTTGGGTTTTCGAGGCAGTTATCACTACAAAAGTAGATTGCCCTATCTTCCTTCCGAGGAGGGGGACTCAATGGCAGTGAGTTTAAAATTTAATTGAGACTTGACTGCTAACCAGAAGGCTGGCAGTTCAAACCCACCAGCCACTTCTCAGAAGAAAGGTTGGGCAAACTGCTTCTGTAGTAATACTGCCTCAGAAACCCAAAGAGGGGTCGCTATGAGTCAAGTCTGACTTGACAGCACATAACAACAACAACACTGATTGAATGAGCACATGAATCACTTATCTAAGAACATAAACTCAAAACGACCAATACCTAGTAAAGTTACTGGTTTTAGAGAAGAAGAAAAAAAATCCTGTGGTTATCTAGGCAAAAAAAAAATGTGAGTTTCATGAGAAACAAAGTTAGATTATTAGACTTTTTGACAATAACACTTTAATGTCAGAAAAGAAATGGAGGAATATACTTAAGATATTCAAGAAAAGAGCAAGCCAAGAATTTTATATCCAACAAAAGTGACCTTCAAGTATAAAGGACACATACAGACTATCATCAAAATACAAGAACTTGGGAAATACTGTTTCCCTGATGCCTTTCTGATGAATCTACTAGAGAATATTCTTGAAGCTCCTAAAATGACTTAAGGACTGGTAGTGAATGTTAAATGTATACTTAATTATAGAACTAAAACCAAATGTATTCTTAAAAGGAGAAAGTACAGTATGTAACAGCCATGTGCTCTGATAAGGTAGACATAATATAACTATTTTTGAAAAGGGGAGAAATAAGGATAGAGTATTAAAATTATTTTAATGCTTTTAGTAATCATGTTGATAGTGCTATTAGGATTACTGTTTAGAGACTTAGGCGTGTAATATGTGATTGAACAGATGAGTATTTATGGAATATTCTAATTCTGTTATCCCCTGTGTCTTGAGAACCAGAATTCTAGTTTAGAAGAAAAGAGGTACAGATGAAATAGAAAAGAGGTTAAGTAAAAACTCTGCAGTCTCAATGGTATGTTGGAAGTATCCATATGATCTCAAGAAGTACTTTATATATGTGAATGTATGTAGAGAGAGCCCTTGAAATACCATTTCTCACTAAAAGAACACAAGTCTTCCTGGAGAAATGGCAGATTCCAAATCTAAGGCACAAAATGTACAAGACAAGCCTAGAGCATATCAAATAGCAAGGAAGCTATCAAAAACTAGTAGGGTCATGTCTAAAGAACTTGGGAGCTAAAGTAAGTAAGTTCCCAATGATGATTTCAAATTGTCCCAAAGTGACTATTTGAGTTTCAGTAATAATAATTGCAATGGATTGAAACTCTTTAAATATATTTAAATCCATTAGTTTATGAAAACTTTTTTTTTCTTAAAGTGATTATTTTTGGAAGATGATATGGAACCAATTTATTATTTTGTAAACTAACAAATAAGGGAAAAGAACTAACGATTTTTGGTGCCTTTCCTATATGAACTAGAGCACTGAATAAGCAAATAGTATATGAGGGAAAATATTTATAAAAGTATTCCAGCTACTAATGAAAAAAGAAGAGAGAGAATATCAACATTTTGTAGCCCCACCCCAATAATCAGATACAGTTATTAATCACTGGCAGCTGCTGCGATCACTAAACGAGCAACAAGCAGACGTGATGTGCCTCCTTACAGTTTTGTTGGACACTATACGTAATCTTGCTAACGGAATTGAACCTGAATCTGAAACTGTTTCTAGGTCCATCTGCCAATTTGAAAGAAACAAAGAGGACAGAACAATATGTGGAATGGCCCCGGAATGTGCAGTCAGCAATTCTGGGTCGGGAAACTGCAGATCATGATGGCCCAAGTTCTTCCACAGATAATTTGTAAGAAAGTGGAAGGGATAGAAGAGGAGTCCATAGTTCAAAAGAGGCTTAAAAAAATGTTAAATTTTAAAAATGCCCAAAACTAAACTAGAGTATCTAGGGAATGTATATTTGGGTGATAAAAAGGAAACAAACAAACAAACAAACAAAACCACTTTTTTTAAAGGCAGAGGCATGATTATTATAAAAATCAGGATAATAGTGACTCCCAGTAGGAGATGTGTTAGGACAGGGCACTTGGGTGAGCTTTGGAGTGGTTCCCAGTTTCTGGTTTTTGGTCTGGGTAGTGTCCACCTTGTAGGCACTTTTTATATTTGTATTTTTATTTCACAATGAAAAAAAGATTTGAAAGCTAAAGCTGTTTTTAAAAACCTATTAATAATATTCAAAGATACAGATAGTGGGGGAAGAAAGCTTGATATTTGAAAAAATAATCACAAATCTTTCAATATGTGATCAATTCTTCTTGATGGTTTAATACTATTTAAAGAAAATACATATTAAATGTAGAAGCTTAGAGTATAATTTTTATTTTTCCTCGACAGTTCATTTTTAGATGGGAGAAAGAATGGTCACAAATGAGCCCTTCATCTTGGATTATATTCTTCATATATTTGAATTTAATTTGTGATCTGCTCTTAAAAGCAACATGTTATTATACTTAAGTGTCTTTGTTTTTAGCCCGTAATAGTTTGTAGATGATATCACTCCTAAATGTTTTAATTCCCCACCAGGTTATAAACTTGTGACCAATGAGTTAAGATTATGAGTGGTTTTAAAACTCTGTTTCTTTATCTGTCAGACATTTATTTAGCACCTGTGAGTAATAGGGAGCAGGGATTCAGCAGTGAACAAAAGAAACATGGATCCCTGATCTTCTAGTCAATCTCTGTAGCTTACATTAAGGAAGCTCAGGACAGGTTGAAAAAACAGCTGATCTGTTATGACCTGTAACTATGGGTACAAAAATTTCTGGGTGAACTTCAAGTAGCTACTCTCAAATTAGGCTGAAAAGGGCTCCTTTTAATCCTGTGAAATTGGCATTACAGAAAAGAATTATAGACATTTTTGGAGCAGGGTGCCTTATGGATACTAACATTAGACTTTAAATCTCCTTATTTATATCTAATTTTTCCTATTATTTTAAAATATAAGGTATCTGCATATTTAATCCTGGGGCCCATTTATTTAGGTCTTTTTAACCTAAAGGAGAGGACCTGATCCACATTTTGAAAATAAAATGGCTGTATTTTCTCCCTCCTCTTATTAAATGCACCTTTTAATTTTATTTATTATATATACCTGATAACTGATTAACTTGATACACTGTCTGACTCAAAGCTATATTAACAGTCATTGGACATGAAATAAAGAGATGTTTCATTCTTACGTTCTGGACACATTTAAAATAGTCATTTCCAAGAGACATGTTTTTTTTTTTTTTTTTTTTTGCCATCTGCCTTTGTCATCATTAAAAGCACTAAATTTAAGGTTGTTGACTGTTGTCTCTCCTGACACTGGTGAGGCACTGAGCTGTTCTCTAAGTGGATTGGTTACAACTTCATGACAATACGGCAACTGGCTGTCTCGTTCAGGGAAAATGAGATTTATTTCTTGGGATTTTCTTGGTGAACAAAAGTTTAATCATTTTCACTGGTCTCTGCCAGATGGCTTCTTACAGTTCTTGTTAAGACGAGGCACTTAAAGTTCTGTAGCAATTAAGCTGATATATGTACACATGATGCCAACTATTTACAGTAAATAAAGTTTTCCTCCTTTCCCCACTCCTTTGTTTTTTTGGCAGGTAGTGAAAGCGTGGGGTGCTCATGTGACAGCAGTTTGCTCTCAGGATGCCAGTGAACTTGTACGGAAACTTGGGGCAGATGATATAATTGATTACAAATGTGGAAACGTGGAGGCGCAATTGAAGTCCTTAAAACCGTATGTATTAATACAATATTCACATTGGGAGAGTGGGAACAAGGGCAGTTGATAATGAAGATCTGAGATGGTTTGGTGGCTGTATAGTCATGTTGAGGTCTTAGAGAAGAATCTATAAAAACATGTCCTGTCATTCAAAGTCATTTAGGTTGGTTTCTGTTTTAATTCCAAGTGTTAAAACAGCACAGGAACATAATGTGACATATACTCAGGAAGATATTTGCTTACATGGTCATTTGCTAATTTTAATTTAATTTATTTATATTTATTGCTGGTTTGTAAGAGGTCTGAAAGCAACATTGGAAGTGTGTTCTATTTCATGGCATATGTTACCACAGAAGTATATAGCAGTGCATGAAAATACCTGGTGGGAACTAAACATGCTTTCAATGTTTTGGCTGAATAAAGGCTTAAGAGAAACAAAGTAAATATAAATATTGCTAATGGGAATACTGGATGTTGTCATTGTGTCTGAATGTCTGAAGGCCTGATGTGTACTGAACAGGTATAGATTGGGGAGTTCTCTCAGGCCCTGATGGTCCTATGGCTCAGGGCAGAAGTAGGGTGGGGGTGGGGATGCTTATTAATCTGGTCTTCAGCCAGCCAAGAGAAAAACTGAAGCTGAGAGGACAACTGAGTAGTATTTGGAAAGCTGTTTTACTGCTTCTCATTCAAAGGTTATCTATTTTTGGGGAAGTTTTCAGAAGCCATTTACTCTTGCCCACCTTGATTAGAGCTATTATTTTCATAAGTAATTAAAAAAGAAAGAAAAATGAAAACTTCCATCTGGCTCTGCCTGACCTTTCTCAGCCAGCACCACCAGTAGCATGACAGTGCACCTGGAGCAGCTAGCCAACTTATTATTCAGGCAACGGTTTATGGACCATCTCCTGTTCCAAACACTGGAGTCAGGGCTGAGCAAGGCAAAGCCCTGCTTCCAGAGAGCTTACGTTCCAGCTGGGGCGGTTTTGAGTGGTGAAGGAGCTAGGGAAAATTGATGTAGAGAAAAGGGATAACCAGTGGTTGGAAGGGGTTCATTATTGAGAAGGCAGTTAAATAATGACTCTCTGAAGCGTTGACACTTGAGAAGAGGCCTCAGTGTTGTGAAGGAGCGGGCCAGGAGAATGAGACCTATATGCATTTATTTTTTGTCTTACTCACTGCTGTATCCTTACCACCTGGAACAGTGCTTGGCATGTAGTAAGTGCACAATAAGTATTTGTTGAATTAATTATTGAGGAAATTTAAGAGAAGAACAATCATTCCAGGTGAAGATAATAGCAAATATAAAGGCTCTATGGTGGTTCAAACCCACCAGCCACTCCTTGGAAGGAAGGTTGGACAGTCTACTTACACAGTGGTAACACTTCGGAAACCCAAGGAGGGGTCGCTATGAGTTGGATCCGACTTGATGGCAGTGAGTTTGGTTTTTTGGTTTATGGCAAGAACACGCTTGGCATATTTGAGGAATAACACTATCCCTTGCAGAAATCTTGTCAGCTACCCTCCTGCCTGTGTGTTGGGACCTAGGTTTCTCTGGGCCTTATGAAAGTCAAGACATGACAGGTCTCCAAGATCAGGCTTCCAGATAGTGATAGTTTAGGTTGATCTCTTACTTTCTAATGCTTCTAGGAATAGCAGCATGAGACTAAAGTGAAGGCCAACCCACCTCCTCTATCTGCCTTAGGTTTTATACACATCTGGAATTTGTTACCAGAGACTAGGAGAACCTGACAGATGGAAAGCTGGAGGACACTCAGTTTAGCCGCCTGTTTTGGTTACCTAGTGCCACTCTAACAGCAAATACCACAGATGGGATGGCTTTAAGAAACAGTAGTTTATTCTCCTACAGTTTTGGAGGCTAGAAGTCTGAGTTCAAAGTGCCAGACTCTAGGGGCTGGGTGAAAGCCCCTCGACCTTGGGCTTCAGCTCTGCCTCTTGCTCCTGGCCCACTGAAGCTGGAGACTTTCTTCACTCAGGCAGCTGCTGGCTGCTGAGTCTGACAAACCCAAGGTCAACAAGTGAAAAGGCACAGTCCCGATATTACCAAACCACACAAAAGGCCATTGATTCAAGTCCATTAAAAGTCCCAAGATCAGCAGAGCATGGCAGGCTGCTGAATGAAGACTCAGCTACATGTAGGGTCCAAGTGTGCCAGAAAGCTAGAGGCCTTCCCAAAGCTTCTCCGTATATACAGGAAGCAGACCACCTCCCTAAACCAGCTGCTCAGCTGCTTGTGGTAGATCCCACCATGGAGCTGACTGCCAGTCTCATCATGGGAAACAACTACATCCAGCTGCCCAGCCACTCAAAACCAGGCCCAGCCAACTTGACGTATATAACCTTAACTACCACACCTCTCAACCCTCCTTGACAAGTGGTCACACTCCCTTTGCCTTAGGGGGTCCTCACTACCTTATAAATGCAGGTCTTTTTTTTTGTGATAGCTTTAATTAAAATTGATCTTTATAACTTCTGGCAAGGGTTTGGCCTCCAGGCAGTATAACTTCTTTCTTCCTCCAAACAGCAGCTGTTTTAGTTGTGAGAAGTTTAGAGCAGAACCAAACCAATTGGTGTCGAGTGGACTCTGACTCATGGTGGCTCCATGCATGTCAGAGTAAAACCCCTCTGTAGGGGTTTCAGTGGCTGATTTTTCAGAGGTAGATTGCCAGGACTTTCTTTGGGTGGAAGGGGCTTTGAAGGTCTTCAGGCCAGCCCTACGTGTTACAGTTGAGGAACTGAGGGGCAGAGTATTTGTGAGTCCTTGCATACTCAGGATCATTGTGCCAGTCGTAGTGGAAGGGCTGGGTCTGCAGCCTGGTCTGGACTTTGTTTTCAGGCTATTCCTGGTCATAACCCCATGCTGCCCATGAGTCTTCTTTAAACTGAGTATCGCCATATTTGTTTGTTTAGATTTTTGAAACAAAGTATAAACTTTACTAATGAAGAGAATAGCCATCTAATAAGGTTATTCCCCTGAATTTCACATCCTTCAATTTGTGTGTGGCCTTCTTATTTTAGTCCCATGAAAAATTCAAGATCCACAAAGTTGGCCATAACTGGTTTTAGAAGCTTTGATGTTTAATTTTATCCAGATGAATTTGGAAGGGGAAAAAGAAGTTACCAGAAAAGAATTATTCTGTTAATTTGCTTCATTGATAAGTATACATTCTCTAAATAGATCTTTATTTTCAAAAGTCTTTAAAAGCCTCATTGGGCCTTTTTAACCTCTTTAACTAGAATGTAGTGATTATAGCAATTTTAGATTGGATTTAAGAAGTTGAATATCTGTCAGTTCCTATAGACTTGATTATAACTGGTTTTTTGGCATGACAGAACAGGATTGAAGACTGAGAGCAGCTTGGCTGTTGATTGATTTTTATGTATTTTTCTGATGCTGTGCATGAAACCAAAATACAGAAATTCTAGAAGGTGAAGAGGCCAAAGTCTACAAGCAGTTCTTGCTATGGAGGGAATAGCAGACCATTCTAGTGAATGTGTAAAAAATGGTGTGGCAGGGTGTCTGACCTCATCTGTGTTTAGGACAGGGAGAAAATCATCAGCATCAGCCCAAGGCTGATTGATGTGAGGTGGAGGTCAGACATACCTCTGCCATCCAGCCTTTTTACCAATTCTGACACCAGCTATCCCTCCCATGGCATGCTCTCCTTTTCTGTAGGGAACTCACGGACAGTGTTTACAATTATGGAGTATATTAAGGAAGGAACAGGTTACAATGCAGGATCAGGAATGACTCAGGATATAATTCTTTGATCAGGACAGCTTCTTCTCACCTGTGCCCACAGGTAGGCCTCTCTCTGGCCCTTGACCTCTTAGCCCTTTGGCCCCTGCTGTGCTCAAGCAAGTGTTATAAAGCTCTTTAGCTGTGCCAATAAGTGCACATAGGCACCCTACTCCACCAGAAGCCTCGGCCTGAAGGAACTCAGCTCTCTCTCACTCCATGGGTCTTGAGCCTAGCTCCACCAAGTACCCAGAGGCCTCTACTCTGCCAGCAAGCCTCTTGCTTGAAGGTTCTCAGCTCTCTCTCTCTCCCTTTCTCTGTGGTTCAGCATACCCACTGTAGCTGCCTTGCTATGTGGGCTGGGAAGCCTACCACACTATCTCACTCCAGTCTCCTGGTTCTACTGCCACTGATTTTCTGCTGCCACTTCTCGCTGTGTCATGCCATCTCTGGTATTAGTTCTTTCTTTTTGTCTTGGGGGTCTAGGAAGTTCTCAGCACAAGGACCAGGTCCAAAGGATACACTCTACTCTTGGCTCTTCTTTTTTGGTGGTAGTGAAGTCCTCCCTCTGCTCTGAGATTGGCTTTTTTTTAAACCCAGCAGAATGGCAACAGTGACCAAATCCGTCATTAGGGTTCCATATACCTTATTTGCAGTCTCACACCCACAGCGGTGCCATATACCTTATTTGCATTATTAGCAAGCTGTCCAGTCCCCTTGGTGAGCCACAGGCCCTCTATTTGCATAGTCCCACCCAGTCATTTCAGAGAATGACGAGACTGCATGACTAAAAGGGCCATATTACGTAATTAATTTTCACTGCAGAGTGAAAGCTTAATAATATACTTTTCTTTCAAGTATGTACATGTACTAAAGAATCCTTTGACTTTAATTAGATGGATATCTTTGCTGTTTTCTGCAAAGCTTAAGTCAGGGATTCTTCACCTTGGCATCCTTAGTTTCTCAACTATTAACATTTTGAGCTAGATTTTGTTGTTTTGGTTGGGGCTGTCCTGTGTTTTGTTGTATGTTTAGCAGCATCCCTGGATTCTACTCACTAAATGCCAGTAATGCCCTCCCATTCTCCTAGTTGGGACAACCAAACATGTCTCTAGGCATTGCCTAATATGTCCCCTGGGGCCTGGGGTGGCCAAATCACCCCTGGTTTGAAACTGCTTGTTTAGGTCATTCTTAAAGTATTAGAAAATATAATTTTATGACAAGACAAAAATAATCATATTTGACTTACCTTGGAGAAAAGCCAGAGATCCAATGGCTGAGTGTGTGTCTTTCCACACCTCTGTTGGAGAGCCTGTTGCAGGGTGATTTGTGAGCTGTTATGAAAATTAAACCCTCGAGACACCTGGCAATGAGAGTAGAGAGAGATTGGAGTCTATATAAAGACTGAGTAGGATGTTTGGTTTTTGTTCTTTCTTTCCAGGTTTGATTTTATCCTTGATAATGTTGGTGGATCCACTGAAACATGGGCTCTAAATTTTCTTAAGAAATGGTCAGGAGCCACATATGTGACTTTGGTGACTCCTTTCCTCCTGAACATGGACCGACTAGGCATAGCAGATGGCATGTTGCAGACAGGATTCACCGTGGGCTCTAAGGCGTTAAAGGTAGGAAGGAGAATCTTGTTATGCTTCTGGAAATTGATTTGCACCCTAGACAGTTTCTCTTCTCATGGAAGCAGTGTAGCCAGTGCCTGCAAGCATGGACTCTGAAGTCACACTGACTGGGCTCAAATTCTGACCGCCATTTAATAGCTGTGTGACCCTGTGCAAGAACTTAATGTCTTTAAGCCCTAGTGTCTTCACCTAAAGACTTAGACTGGGTTTTCTACAGGGACAAAACCAGTGAAGTGTATATGTATTTATAGAGAGAGAGCTCTGGTGGTGTAGTGGTTAAGACCTTATGCTAACCAGAAGGTCGATGGTTCAAATCTGCCAGCTGCTTCACAGGAGAAAGATGAGGCAGTCTGCTTCTATAAAGATTTACAGCCTTGAAAACCCAGTGGGGATTGCTATGAGTTGCAATCAACTTGGTGGCAATGAGTTTGGTTTTGTTTTATATATGTATAAAGAGATTTATTTCAAGGAAACAGCTCACTCAGTGTAGAGGCTGGCAAGTCCCGAATTGATGGGTCAGGTGTCAGGCTGGAGGCTTCTCCTAACTCAAGTGGTTACAAAGGCTAATGAATCCAAAGCCAACAAGCAGGTCAGACAGCAGACCGCTGGTTCATGGGTGGCAAAAGATGGTGAATTCCAAAATCTGCAAGTCAGACAGAAAGCTGCTAGCTCTCGTTCAAAGCACCAGAGGTCAGAGGATGACAAGTTGGTTGGAGAATTGAGAGAGCATGAGCTTTGCCAGAACATCCATGTATATTGGATACAGGCCACACTCCCAAAGAAACTCCCCTTTCAACTGAGTAGCTCCTCACATCAGATTACAAAATGGGGGATGATTACATAATATCTGCCAAACCACTGAGAATCATGGCCCAGCCAAGTTGACACATAACTTGAACCATCACACCTATAAAAGTAGACTAATAATACATCTACCTTACTGCATTGTTGTCAGGATTAAATGAGATAATCCATGTGAAGGACTTGGCACAATGCCTAGTATGTAAAAAACACTCTTATTAATGATGTTAGCTTTATTATTAGCCATGTTCTCTCTTTTGATTCCATCTGGAACACTGTCTGCTTTCTTCTTGCCTATACCAGATGGCCTTTTCTCTGTTTCACCAGGTTTAAAACATACCCTTTCTTACATGGAGGAGGAAGTTTTATTAAGACAAGGTACAGCTAGGTAGCTGCTTTCTTGGTGGTGGGATTGGGATATGCCAGTATTTCCTGGACTGGGGCTTTCAGATCTTTAGAAGTCCATGGGTATCTTTTGAATTTAAAAAAACCTGAAGGAAATTATACCTTACTCTGAGTGTACAAAGACTAACAGAACCATCATGCCTCTTCCAGAATTTTATCAACTTGTTGTGCTAACACTGCATATTCCATGTGAATCAGAAACTCTAGCTATTGATGGCATTATGGGAGTTTCTGGGCCTTGATTGGTCAGCCTGACTGTGTTACTGGGGCCACTGTTACCAGGGCCACATGGAACTGTATCACTCACTGAACACATTCAGTGTGTGGTGGGCCTTAGTTATGGGACTGGTAGTGTCTGTGCTTGCTACTTAACATGACAGCCTGTGACAGAGGCTTGTGTAATTTCATGTTACCAGCTGTTGGTGATTCTGGATCATTGATTTAAAATCTGAATTAGTGTTGAAATAGAATAAGTTATAAAAGAAAGTAATGCAGATAAATTCTATTTTTCTAATTGGACAAAATACTTCAGATTCAGGAAAAGGCAGTAGTAGAAAGTTCCTCAGGGGTAAAAAGATTGCGAGCCATTGTGCTGATCCAGCCAACACTGACACACATCTGTCAGATGGCTGGCCTGATAATTATGTTCAGCTTCTGTTTTGTTCTGGAAATTCATTTGGGGTCTCCGGAGGTAAAATTTAGGATGTTAGTCTCCTGAATACTGTGCACTCACTAAACGGCTTAGAGGTAATAAAGAAGCGCTGTATAGACCACAACTCAATCTGCATGAAATATGTATGGGTAATAGAGATGAACAAGGCAGCTACTGCTCTCTGGTGTTCTTTATTTTCATTTGATTCAGATGGCAGCCAGAATGGGTGTCCACAGGCTGCTTTGTGGTGGAGAAGAGGCCTTTGTCTCTTCCTTCTCTTTTCACAAAACACGCACTTTGCAAGTCCTTTAAAATATAAGTGTGAATTTTCTGTGGATTCTCAGGTGGTGCCCAGCAGGCCCTCTTCGCTGTTAACCTGCTGGGTCGCCCCTGAGAGCCCAGCAGCCACACCTCTCTTCATTTTCTCTTTCTCCCCCAACTTGAAAGATGATCATGGTGATCTCAGGTGAAAACCTTTTAAGTAGTTTCGGACGTCCTCCTGAGAATGTGCCTAGTTAAAGCCCCATTGTAATGCTCCAGACTCTCCTGCCTGCTTCGGTTTACTCTCCCTCCCCTAATGGCCTGGGAAAAAATAACAAACACAGACCCCTTACAACAGAATATTAAAATCCTGCCATTGCAGACCCAGAGTTTCATTTTACAGTGCAACACGCTGTAAAGAATTACACACATGGCAGTAGTGACCATTTTTGTTCCTTCTTAGTACTCTGAACAATTACCAGAATGTTGTAGTCTGTGAGGTAAGATCTTCGAGAGAAGTACATGGACAGACACCCTTGGGACTGGGCCCAGAGTAAGCTTGGAACATTCCCAATGCTTCTGGTATATCGCTGGCTATATCAGCCTTCACATAGTTGTTTTTTTGTTTTTGTTTTTTTTCTTTTTTAAGTTAGTTGCTTAGACTAACCTAGACCAACCACTTTCACACCATGATACACATAGAAAATAGTACTATTTGAACAGTACATTGAGGCTGTTTGGGGCCAAGAGCAACCTACCTGGAGACTTCTGCCTCCCAAGCTCTCCCTTGCTACCTACACCGAGAGCTGAAGGGAATCAATACCTTGTCGCACTTATTCTGGGGTGAGCTTGTCTCTGCATCTCTTGCTGTTAATGGTGAGTTTCTTAACTGTCATGGTTATTCCAGGTTAGACAATAAATTCCAGGGTCACTCAACCAGTAAGCCGTCCTTGGCACACCAGGTAGGAAGCTGTGGCCTAGGCAACAGCTTATTTTTCTTCTTTTCTTCTATATTATTAAACTCTAGTTTGGTAGTATCCTAGTTTATCCTCCATAAGCTTTACTTTCAGCACTGCACAAATATTTATTGAGTAATTTCTATGTGTCAGGCATTGTACATACTTTCTCATTTAATCCTTTCAACAACAGTGTGAACTAGGTGGTGCTATCACCATTCTACAGGCTGGGAAGTAGGCTGAAAGAAGTAGCTTGGTGCACATAACACAACTAGTAAATGGCTGAGCTAGTGGAGCAGGTGAGTTCCATGGCACTTACCATGAAAGTAGTTTATATCATGGCTGAAGGGTGTGAGGCAGAGGGTGAGCTCTGCAGAAGAGAAGTCTGTGCTCACCTGGCAGTCACTGTGGGTAGAGTAGGGAAGGGAGTAGCATGGTACTGGCTAACCCCATACTACTCTGGACAGCTCTCATCTGACAAAGTTTGGCTGGATTGAGATGATTTAGGGACAGAAGTCATTGAGATGGCCTTAGAGATTTTAGCATTTGGGCAGGTTGTTGAGATGACCCCGAAGTTTGGTTAGGCAGGTCATGAATAATCTTGACTCACTTGTTTTGATAATGACCTGCCTAGCGACCCCACCAACCACTCCTCGGAAGGAAGGTTGGGCAATTCTACTTCCGTAGTGATAACTGCCTTGGAAACCCAAGGTGGGGTCTCTAGGAGTCAGGGCCGACTCGATGGCAAATAACAATAACTAACAACAAACCCCAACTAGCAGAAGTATTTGCACGAAAATACCAAAAAAAGGAGACAGACAGAGCTGCGGTCTGGCAGCGAAGCTGAGCGATCCCGATAGCACAGACAGCTTGGAGAGTGCTGAGTGGTGGTAGGACCCAAGAATTAACCTAAAAATCAGCCCTGCTAGCCAGGGACTGCACGGAGGACTGCTCTGGTGGCTGAGGAATAAACAGAGAAGGTGAAGAGAAAGGCGGGCTGAGCTGTGGATTTTTGCCGGTCCGGAGGATGCCACCATTTTGA